AAGCAGTGGTATCAACGCAGAGTACTTGAATTAAGAGCTAGTCAAGAAGCACAATCGAGAGAGATCATAAATACTATTCGCCCTTGTCCAATTCCGGCTTATCAAAGTTGCAATCCGTGGGGCTGTAACTGCAACCAAGGCTGTGGTTGTTAATTGAATAAAGCAAAACTCTGATTACAGAAACCTCGATTACGAGAACTTGCGAAACTACAATAACGAGGTAGCTTAGTCTACCTCTATTTTTATAGAAAGGAAGGGGAATATTATGATACAAAGTTATCAAGAAACAGTTGAAGTGTTATCAAGTAATACTAGCCCAATTAGATTTGAAAGAGATTGTATCAGAACAAGAAGTTGTTCAGGCTGTGGTGGATGGTTATGCCATAGTGAAGGGTCTCCGTTATATAAAATAGTCAGTGGTGGTAAATACAAAGTATCATTTAATGCTAATGTCACAAGTACTGCGACAGGTGTGGTTGCGTTAGGTTTATTCGCAGACGGCGTACTCGTACCCGGAACGACTGTTATTGCACCAGTTACTACTGCTGGAAACTATTTTAATGTGGCGTTCGATAAGGTTGTGAAAGTATGTTGCAAAGGTAGTACTACTCTCACAGTAGGGTCTATTCCTACGGTTTTAGCTGGAGCAACTCCTGCTGCTACAACTACACAAACACCTACAATCCAAACAGCAAATCTAATAATAGAAAGGCAATCTTAGTGCGGAGGTGTGTTATGGAGGAAAATAAAGAACAGGAAACTGTAACAGAAAACGTAACTGAGAAATTAACAAAGCTCGTAGAGCAAGAATTGTCGGCAATTGCCGAAGAGGGTATTCATTCAGAAAATGTTGAATATTTGTATAAACTAGTGGATATTCATAAAGACATTGAGAATGAGGAATACTGGAAAATTAAAAAGGAGGTATTAAAATATGATGTACGGTGGTTATAATGAAGGAGACTATAACGAAGGTGGTTATAATGGTAACTACGGAAGAAGAGGTGTCCCAGGTACAGGAAGAGGAAGATACAGAGGTTATAATGCAGGGGGATACTCTGGAGCCGGAGAAAATTTAAGTGAAGCACAAGAACATTATGGAGCGTATTCAGAAGGAAAAGAACAAATGAATATGGGTAATTATGGAGCTGAAGGACAAACAATGAAAGCTTTAGATTATATGTTGAAATCTGTCTGTCAATTTATGGAGATGTTACAGAGTGAAGCAGGCTCACAAGAAGAAATGCAACTAATCAAAAAATATGCAAGAAAAATTGGAGAAATGTAATGTATAAATATTACAACGCCAATGCAAATGGTAATTTTGTGAATGATTGTGTAATTCGTGCTATCTCCGTAGCAGAAAACAAGTCGTGGAGTGATACGTATGACGATTTAAGTAGAATTGCAAAGAAAAATGGAATTTTATTAGATGATGTCAACTTCGTTGACCCATTGTTAGATTATCGTTATGAACGTATGCGTATACGACCTATGACTGTGGGTGAATTTAGTGAAAAGTACTCTCGCGGAATTTATTTAATTACTATGCCAAATCATATTACGGTATTGAAAAATCGGAACAATTTTCGACACATTCGATTGTCGTAATAAAATTTTGAAAAATGCGTGGCAAGTTTTTTAAAAAATTTAGACAAAAGGTCTTTACATCTGTTCATAAATAGTATATAATAATGAACAGAAATAGATATGTCCTGGGGGCATACGTAATTTGGTTTAAATAAATTCGGTCCAAGTTCGTAGCAAATGGGATGGGTAATATTTCTATATAATGTAACAGTTATGTAGTAAACCCATTCTGGTTGCTACGAACTTGTTTTATTGTAAATATATTTTTAAAGGAGGAATTATTATGGCAGCAGTTAATTACGCTGAGAGCTACGAAAGAGCGTTAGCACAAGCTTACCCAAACGTATTAAACTTTGGTGAATTATACAATGTAGCTAACAATCAAACTTATAAGTTCGTAGACGCAAAAACTATTCACATTCCATCAATTTCTGTAACAGGAAGAAAAAATGTTAACAGAGACGCCATAGATGGAACATTCAACAGAAACGTAGATAATGACTACGAAACAAAAACATTAACATTCTACAGAGAATGGTCAACAAGTATTGACCCAGCAGACGTTATGGATACTAATATGGTATTAACTATCCAAAACGCTACTAAGGTTTTCAATGAAACACAAAAATTCCCAGAAAAAGACGCTTATACAATAAGCAAAATATATGCTGACTGGGTTGCTGAAGGAAAATCAGCTAATACAACAGCTCTAACAGTTGACAATGTATTAGCAGTATTTGATAAGTTAATGGAAGATATGGACGAAGCATTAGTACCTTCAACAGGAAGAATATTATATGTTACTCCAGCCGTTAAAACATTATTAAAATCAGCTTCTCAAATCGGTCTATCAAGAAGTGTTCAAAATGGAGAAAACACAATAAACAGAGTTGTTGATAGATTAGACGAAATCAAGTTAATAACAGTACCTTCATTCTTAATGAAAACTGCATATGACTTTGATACAGGATTTGAAGTATCTGACACAGCTAAACAAATCAATATGTTCTTAGTACACCCAAGCGCTATCTTAACACCTAACAAATACGCATTTGTTGGTATGGAAGCTCCAGCTGCAGGTACTAAAGGTGATTACATCTATTATGAAAAAGAATACGCTGACGTATTTATTTTAAATAATAGAACAGGAGCTATTGCATTCAACATAGCTGCTTAATTAAGAAATTATAAGTAAAGGAGAAACGAGTATGTTATTGTCAAAATTAACACCGGTCGTACTTTATAGTTTGAAGTCTACTAGAGGTTTGGACGGTGACATAGTTGAAGAATATGAAAAAGTATTTGAAGCTGACGGAGCAGTTCAATATCTTGCGTCAGACGAGATTGCACAAAGTGCGTATGGGGCTAACTTAGATAAGACATACCGTTTCAAATCTATTTATAACGATTTAGAACCATTTTTATTGGAGAAAACTAATAATTCTCCAGACAACTTAACAAAGTATTTAGTTGAGTGGAAAAATAAAAAGTATTCTATTGTAAAGGTAACCCCATTATATATTGATATACAATGGAGGTAATAATATGATAAGTAAGGATAATTTTGGTAGGTGGCAACATAGAGCAACTATAAACGTAAAAAAGTCAATGTTGAAGAAAGCAGAAGAACTATTAACAGACGTAGAACGAGACGTTGCTGAACAACTGCTAGAAGTACACAGAAATAATATAATTGCTTCGTATATACCAAGGTCTGAAGGTGAATTAGCGAAAGTTGAATATAATAAAGCGAAAAAAGCAGAAGAACAGGAAAAAAATAAAGGTAAATATGGGGCAGATAGAAAAAGACTTAGTCGTAAAACTTTGGCATATAAACACCAACACGTCATTGAAGAAGCTCTGTATGTTGATATCGACAAAAAAAGTCGTTATGAAAGTAGAGTTGTAATCAAATTACACCCATACGAATACCCAGAAGACCACCCAAGAAAAGACGGACCAATTACTGCAAGCAAAGTTTATGACTGGTTGGCAGAAGGAACAGACGGTGGTGGACGTTATTGGTTTACAAACGAAAATGGAAAGCGACCTACGGCGTATAATTATCCTACACCAAAACACGACTTTGAAGAACATACCCAATTACAAATGAAAGGGTATTTACAAAATTTAGACATTAAAAAATGTAAAAAAAGGAGGTAGATTATGAGACTAGTTAATAATCTTCGTAGAATGATACAAGCTAAGTTAATGGAAATCGAAGGATTAGACGCTGGTATCATAGTATCTCAAGAATTGGTTGAAGAAGGTAAATATTATTTTGGGTATGACATAAGAACTAGTTTGAATAAAAGAGATTTATCTTATGATAATGAACAATATACAATTTCAGTTATCGGTTATCTTTCAACAAAGGGCGGTACATTGAAACAATTTGACGATTATTTGGACGCAATATGTGAAAAGTTAGGTGAATTGAGATTTAGACCTACAACACAAGATAGTCCGATTACACCTGACACAGGATATCGTGAATGTATGTTGACTGCTTACGCTCAAGCTAATACATTAGAAAAAACATTGAGATAATTTCCATTGAACCAAATACTTTGTTAAGATTAAAATATTTTTTTAAAGGAGGAATAGATTATGGATCCAGACGCAAGAGTACAAGTTGCCACACTTGGTACAGCGCTATATTATAGCACAGATAAAGTTGGAACATTCATCGGAAACAAAGGTGAATATACAGTTGAAGCTGAAAAAACATTAAAAGAAATGATTGAAGGTTTAGGATATACTAGAGTTCACGGTTTAGCTAGTACACCAGATTTTGGTGGACAACCAAATACAATAGATACAACAACTTTAGATAATACTAAATCAGAGACTTCAGTTTTAGGTTTACAACCAGCTGCAGAAGTAACATATGAAATCAATATGATGACATTTGCTGACGTACCATCAGGAGAAGAACACAACCTAAGAGGAATTAAGAAGATGGAAACCGACGAAACACCAGCTCACTGGGTAGTTGTTAAAGCTTCAGGTGTTATAATCGAATACGACGCTAGAACATACATTAGCTACACAGCAGACGCTCAACAAGATATTGAAAAATTCAGTATTTATCACGACCTTAAATCTGATATAGCAGTTTCTTTACCAAAAGAAGCTTAATTAAACAAAACTAAACTTAGGTGGGCAGTTTAGCCAACGTTAATCTTCGGGCGTTTACATCCACCATTTTTTATAAATAATAGGAGGATTAAAATTATGGATAACATAGTAATTATAAAAATTGGAGGAGTAGAATATGAATTCAAATTAAGAAGTTCAAGTATTCTATACCTAGAAAAGAAATTAGGAAAAAATATTTTTGAAGCGTTCCAAAATCCTGATTTTACAGTTATGGTAAATTTATTCTATGCCTGTGCAAGTAAAGCTTGCAAGGACAAATACCCTGACGAGGGAGAATTGTTTGACGCAATGTTAGACGAATACGGAATGCAAGAATTAGCAGAAAAATATTTAACAGATATTATTCAAAAATCAGGACTAGTACAAAAACAACAAGAAATTCCAATGACTCCCAGTACAGAAGCTAGTTCAAAAACTTGGAATAAATAAACTCGTTGAAGAGGAAACACAATATGATCCATTTGCTGGATTTCACGCAGTTCACGATATGTATGCTGAATTAGTAAAACAAGGTAGTGAATTGAAAGATTTATACGATTATTCGTGTAAAGAATTGTTGTTTATGTTAAAGTACAAGCGAGAAGGTATGGCTTATAGATTATGGAGGCTGGGTAGTATGAATAGGGCTGCATTTGGAGCCAAAACGTACCCTGCTAAAATGGAAGAAGCAATACCAGAATTGTTTGAAAAGAAAAAGAAAGCTCCAATGCCAGATTGGTTGAGAGAGGATTATGAAAAGAAAATAAACAAAGCAGTGAAAAAGAGTAGATAGATTATATTATTTAATAGGTTGTAGGAGGTAGTAAATATGGATGAAATAGAGAAACTTTGGGTATCTTTAGGTATCACACCGGACGAGCCTAGCGCGAACGAGGCTGTTGGAAAAATGTTAAAAGCAGTGCAAAAGAAATTAAACTCATCTATTTATGGTGGTGAAAAAGGTGTTATTACGCTTCCTGCGACTATTGAAGGTACTTATAAGAACGGTAAAGAAATAGAACAAGAAATAAAAGACGCTTACGCCGCCATCTACAAAACAGCAAAACAGATGGCCGACGAGAGCGTCTCTTTGACGTTAGACGATTTAAAAGGTTTCAAAAGTCAAATCAATAAATTCGCAAAACTAACTTCAAAGAAGAACGGCAGTGACGTTATTGCAAATGCTAATAACAATTTGAGACAAACTCTAAGTGATTATCAAGGTTTTGTAAATGATTTAAGAAAACAAGTTAGCGCTCAACAAAAAACTCAGATAAAACAAACACAAAAAGTCAAAGCTCAACAAACTGCAAAGACTAAAAAGTCTAGTTACTTAGGTATATCAGAAGAAGAAATCAATGACGCAATAACAAAAGAAAATGCCAGACAAGCTAAAATGAAGGCTTGGCGTGATAAACAAGCTGAACAAATATCTTCAAGATTAGATTATAGGTCTGGTAGTATAGACCCTGGTAGAACTAATAAAAAAGAGGCTATGGCGAGTGAGTTCAGTGAATATTCGAGTCAGTGGGCTAGAGAATTAGCAAAAACTATAAAGGAAACTTATTCTAAGGAATTAACGAAGCATATTTTTGATAGAGAATTCAAAAGTGACCAGCCGAAAGGCCGCTTGAGCCGTAGAACTACAAAAGAAGAATACTTAAATCATTTATCTACCAAAGCACTTAAAGAATTGGGTGGTTTAATAGGTAAAGTAGAACACGGTTCAAAAGATGTTACTTTTGATCAAATTGTCGAAGCTATTGGTTTAGTTAGAACTATTTTTGAAGAAAACGGAAAAAGTATGTCTGTAATAGCGAAGTCTATTTCAACAGCTGTGCAAAGCAGATATGACCAATCGCAAGATACTCAACCAGATGACCACGGCGATAGAAAAAAGATATATAAGAAAGATCATTACGGCAACAGAATTGGTGGTATAGACGCTGAAGAAGGTACTGATAGAGGGGTCGGAATAGGACACGCTCAGGCACAAGCGTATCAATCTGCTATCCAACAACTATTGAAAAAGATGTTAGGAGAAGTTGAAGACCTTTCACGTCAAGAAGAACAAGCAACTAAAGCCGGAATAAAGATGACAAATCAGTACGAACAGTATAAAGAATCTGCGAAAAATTCTAACGCAAGTAAAGATACAAAACGAATGGCTGACGAATTAAGAGGTGAAAGCAGTAGAGACGAGAAATCTTACATACAAGACGTGAGAGAAAGTAGTAGAGAGGCGTCAGCAGATACAGCGGAAGGTCAAAAAAATACTGAAATATTAGAAACAGAAAAACAAAACACGAGCACGGGTCTTAACACAGACGCCAACACGAAAAAATTGATTGACGCAGTTAAAACTCCAAAAGAGAAATCAACAGAGAAAGACAAAACAGAAACTAAAAAAGACGCTGAAGTTGAAGAACCAAAGACCGAGGAAGATATAGAACCTATAGAGGTTGAACAATCACAAGAGATTTCGTCTGATTTAACACCACCTGTCACACAAATCGAAGGTGTAAGTGCAGTAGAAACTATTTTAACAAGTATGCAGAAAACACTAGGGTCTATAAATAAACATACCAACGCGATATCAAAAAAGATAAGCGACAAAAGTAAGAAAAATACTGATAAAAAGAAAACTACTTCAGGTAGAAAACCACCTAAAACACCACAAAATGAACAACAAGCAGAAGAAATCGGAAATTTATTACCTGACGTAATTCGTAAAGTCGCGTTAGAAACTGTTGACGGTAAACCACAATTAGTGACAAAAGTTGAAGGTCCAGTTGATAAACCAATTACTTCTCATAACGAGTTTGACAGACCATACAGTATAAAACCTAGTGAGCTTATGTCAATAAATGCTTTAAAAACACAATCACTTGCTGACAAACGTAATGAGGATAAACTTGATACAGATAGACCAAAAACAATGTATGGTGCAGAGAGTAATCCTTTATTACCAATGGTAATTGAAGAGTTTAAAAATGCAATTCCTAAAATGGAACTTACAGGGAACAAACAAGTATATGAGAAACCAAGTGACGCAGAAATGCCTGATTGGGCAAAAGCTGAAAAAGCGATTGAAGACCAAGCTAAAGCTTTAGAAGACGAAGAGAAAACTCGTAAAAAATTAGCAGACCAAATCGCACTTGAGACTAAATTAGCAAAACAGAGAAACAATAATAAACTTCAACCAAGAACACCTGCTGTGATAAAATTAGGAGACGAACAAGAAAGTGACACAGGTAAATCGCTACAAGATATGTTGAAGAAAGCATTTGCTCCATTTAGTAGACAAAGTGCTGCAACACAAGCAATGCAAATGAGTGCAAGTGAACGTGCTGCAGAACGTGCTCGTCGTATGAAACTTTATGGAAAACCAAGAGGACGTGGGGACGCAGGAGACTTAGGAGCTGTATCAGACATAAGATATAGTAAAAACTTATGGAGAGGTAACGATAAATCAAGAGGCAATGACGACCCATTATTCAGAGATATTAGAAAAACAGATAATATAAGTGGAATTGATTCAGATAAAGTTTTGAGTGAATTACAAAAAGCGATACAAGACGGAATGTTTAAAGCTCAAACTGGTGGATTAGGCGCTAACTTATTAGGGGCTGTATCCGGAGGACTTTCGTATTTCACACAACCATCACTTGAAAAATCTCGTGCGCAAGCCGAAGGTTTAAATCAAGTAATGGCGAATGTAAGAAATGAAGTACTAAAAATTTTAGAAACTATCAGAGGTAAAGAAGACACACTTGGCGCAATGCAACAAAGTGGAGACGCGGTGTTTGACGACGAAGGACGTATGACTTATGGTACACCAGAAGCAATCGCAGAATTTAATGAGTTGGAAAATGCGAAAGACATACTAGATTCATTGCTTGCTGAAACAGCAAATGTAGACGCGGTTGTAAAAGAATGTGGTGGCGATATTGGAAAGATAATACAAAAATTATCTTTCGTTGCTCCAGAATTAAGAAAAGAAAACGTTATAATTCAAAACATAGGTAATGGATTAGATAAAAACGGAAAAGCACTTAAATTCCAAAACAGAGGTGCTGAAGTATTGAATTATTCGTTCCAGTTAATGGCTAGACACATAGGGCAAATGGTCAAAAACTGGATGATGATGGCGAACCCGATTAACTTAATAAAGAAATCATTCCAAGATTTTGCAAGTTACGACGTTAAATGGCAACGTACTATGAACGTAATCAAATATAATTTGAGACGTATAGTAAAACCAATGATGGAATGGATTGCACAACAGATAGTAAATATGATTGGTCTTGTAAATGCTCTTATGAAAGGTGTTGGAAAAGTATTCAATCAAAATTGGGACTTATTTGACCAAAGTGCTGCAAGTGCTGAACAAATGAGAGAAGAGCTTGAGCAGGCTGCAAATGTAACCGCAGGATTTGACGAACTCCACGACATTGGTGGGGAGAGTAGTAGCAACCCAGCAGAAGATTTAATGGGTGATATTTATACTCCACAATGGGACGGATTGAACGAGTTACTAGAAAAGATAGGCACAACTATTGGTAATATAATCAAAGCTGTAAGCAACTTCACATTCTGGGATTGGTTGAAACTAGCTGGTGCAGCATTAGTAGGTTTCTTAGCTCTTAAATGGTTAATTAAGTTGTTTAAGGGTAGTACAAATCCATTAGAATCAGTTGCGAAAGGATTTAGTTTCTTAGAGAAAGCTGTAGGTTGGGCATTACTAATTTGGGCATTCACTGAATTCACAAAAGCACTTACAGGTTTTGTTGAATGTATGAAGACTGCTAGCTGGGGAGATATCGCGAAAGCTTTAGTTATGCTAGGTGGAGCACTCATATTCTTAGTAGGCTCAATCGCGGGTATCGAAGGATTTACTAAGTTGTTTGGAACAAGTACGGGTCAATTATTTGGATTATCAGCATTAGTTGGAGTATTCGCATTATTCGTAAAGGCTATAATACCATTCATTGAATGTA